ATTTGGTAGATGATCTAGTGTAAGACATCCACTAAATAGCTATATCATATATCTGTGCTGCAACATGAACTTGTAGAGAATTAATGATGTTATTATTGATAATTATCCATCTATCTGCTGTTAAAGATCTACCAACAAAATGAATAATTTTGCATCAAGGTTGCATGCTGCATGCTTGTCTTGGCTGCTTTTAGCTGAATGAATATTAACTGATATTCAAACTCTGAATAAATACTCTTCCTTTAAGAATAATAGTTAGAAATCTCTATGAAATCTCTATAACTAAATATAAAAGGACAGAATAAATTCTTAAATTAAATTAAATTCTCTGTATTATTCTTAGCTCAAAAACTTTGCCCACTTTTGCAGATCTCATTCTAAACTTATTTATTATTTTCTGAATACTTTAATTTAAGTATAAACAAATGTTCATAAAGCCTGAGGGTCTTGTTTATTAGTTGTCATATGTAAGCAATTCAAAAGCAACTAGCGCTGTAACTTTTCAAGCATGTCCACTTATTGTGTTAGCTGAACTTTCGGGCCAATAAAGTGACACATTTGCCAGTTGCTAATTGCAAGCCATAAATTAAGCCCAGCCAAGCCAAGCCAAGCCCAAAGGGGCGTTGTCTGGGTCCGACATATAGATAAGCTCGGGCAATAGGCTACGGGGGACTGTCAAAAACTTTAGATTGCATTAAGCTGCGAGGCGGTAGGCGCAACTATTTCAGGAAATGGAGTTGGCTGTTTAATATGCGGCATGCAACTATGCAGGACGTGTAGGAAATCGTAGACAAAGCTGCAAAATATTAATTATGACAGATCTCGCTTTGAGCGTGTGTGTGTAAGCCCTGCTCAAAGTACCACAGTCAGGGCGAATGCCGTTGGCCAAATTTGCATTTATATTAAAAACAAACAACAAACCGGGCAGCAGCAAGTCTGAAGCTGAAAGCCCGTACGATGACAGGCGCCAACGACTTGCGGCATAATCAAAGACACGTCACCAACAGGCTATGACCAATTTGCAGCCATTGCCCCCAACCCGCAATTGCCATATAACTATAGCCCAAAAACTGATTTGCGAATATTTGGACAACGTCGATGGCTGCGGTCGCAACTTTAATTATGTCTCATATATCAGTTTGCTCTGCTGGCTTTCCGGTTAGTTGGGGGCGGTAAGCATAAAAATAATTTCGTTTTGATTGCAATTACAAAAGCCCCGCACCACCCAGCCACCCCAACGCGGCGGCAAGTGCACTTGAGGGTTGCTTGCCACTGTTTTGGGCTTTTACGTCTGAGTCACAAGTGTTGCCAATTGTTTGTAACTGTTTTGTTCGTGCAGCAACCCCAAAGTATGGCATCCAGTATGCTATGGCTCAGCAAACTACAAGTCCTCCTCGCCATCTCTCGACCCCCCACCACCAGCCGTAGAAAATTATTAGATTTTATTGCACGCAACATTTCGAAATGAAATGAAAAATGTTTTGATGCGATTTATTGTCAGACGTCTCTGTCATACTCTGTGGCTCGTTTTTAATATTTCCAAGTGGCTTTTGTGGCCAAAATTGTGACTGCCATTCGCCATGGACCAGCTGGTAACCCTCGAAAGGGTTTCCCAAAAAAATGCAACCGGGCGTAAATGTTTTCGAAACAAAATTAGTTTGGGGATTTGCATTTGAATATAGTTCAGCTACTCCATATAGAAAGTTGTCAAATAAAAGTTGATAGCCTGCCAGTCTGCCGGCCGGCCGGCTGGCCGTCTGTTAGGGATTGAAATCTGTTTGCCATTTGCATATGTAATAAGTAAAAGGACGCACTCAACAGTCTGGACAACTGATGGATATGATAATCAGGCGCTTATGACAATCACAAAACGATAAGGGCCACAGTCTCAAATAATAATAAATACAGAACATTGGCTCTTGCATAACTGATTTCTGAAACGATGGCAATCTCTGAAGATGCTTGACTGAACTAGAGATAAAGCGATTAAGGATTATTTGTATAGCCAAAATGCGACTGAAAGTCGAAATTGATGAGCATCGAATGCTGGCAATAAGAATACAAATTAATTTTTATTTGCAAAGAATTTTTATTGTGAACACGCAATGACAGCAAAATATTATGCAACTGTCAATATATATATTTATATATATAAATAGTTTGTAATACCTGAAACAATTGGTGGAAGAAGACGCTTCCCAGTTCGATTAAGTTTATTTATTCTTGATCAGAAAGACGAGCTGATATAAATTATATACATAAATATATATTGAATGTTACTTATTTAAGTAATAACAATTTTTTATTTTTCTCTGATGTACCTTAATATACTTCTCTATATTATTTGCATATCACCTTATCTTACTTAAAGATTGAATGCAAAGTGTACCTTCTACCTTCTTCTTGATTAAGCTGTAGTATTTCTATATAACAATTATACTGTATAAAGTTCTATCACTGAGTATCATACTTTAGTTATCTATATGCTTTTGCCTTGTAGATTTGATGTGTTTTACTGAATATAGAAATCTATAGTTCTGACTCTCTGCAGAATCTAACATATTAGGTTCATATCTCAAATACCTTCTACCCTGTGTGGTCACTTGAAGTATTTAGCTTAGCTCTTAGCGCATTCCTACTAAGCTGTACCCAAGTGCTCTTACCTAGACGCGTCCTTTGTTGCTTCTTTCATACACTTATCGAGAAGTCTGAGGCAGATACTTTAAAAACCATTCAACACGCGCCTTGTTAGCATAAAGGGAACGCACCTAACAATCGTCTCAAATGAACTACTCTTCGCTATAATTCCCATTCAGAGCTGGGGAACAGTTGGCTAGGGCATTAGGTTACACAACTCAAACAGATGCCGGGACACTGGTTTGGACGCTCGATTCTGTACGCTCGCAGTCTCGGGCATTGGGGACGGGGCATTTAGCGCATCCTAACAACTGCTACATGACACCATATTATTAAATTAAATGCAGACACGCGTACCACAAGCTGTCCATTGGCCACCTAAATCGTACCTTTGTGTGCAGCGTCTGTGGCAACAGATGGAAAAGCAAGCGTTAGGTGCAAGTCGAGGCCAAAGCCCGTTGACCATTAATTTTTCAGCTAAATGGTGGCTGGTGGTCGGTGGTCGGAGGTCGGTGGTCGGTGGTCGGTGGTCGCTGGTCAGCTCTCACCGTGCTGAGCTTGTTAAACTAACGAGGCAAATGCTGTTCCTGGAAAGGCAATCGATAGATTCGAAATATCTGATAAGGAGAAAAACGAGCAAATGAATGAGTTTTAATTATACAGCTGAAGCCAGCATTTGATAAGGATCAGTCCACATCTCATGTAACTGTAGAGCTACCAGAATCTGTGTATGATCATTGCCTTTGTTTGAGTCGCGTATAAATTCATAATTTAAGCTGGCAGCCAAAAGTCACCTGCCACAAGAATAAAGAATAAATTCAACTGTGCCACAATTCTTCAGTTGCAGTTGCCTCTCGCGAGGATCATTGATCATTGAACGTGCCTCCTGCTGCCTGCTGCCTGCTGCCAGCGTCATGCCTCTCGCTACCTGAGGCTGCCTCATTTAGTGATTTTTTGACCAACAGCTGCTACTTTTTGTTCGGCTTTTCGACTTTTGCCTCTGCCAACAACAAAATTGATGACGACAGGTTGAAACGATCGCTAGCTGATCCGACCCAAGCTAAAAACCTGAAGCCTTCTGTCTGACGCTCTGACGTTAATCGACCAAATTGCAGCAGCTGAATTGTCAGTTTTGTTAAGTGGGCTGTGCCTCAAGTCTGCGTCCCAGACATGCTTTAACTGTGATGTATTGTTCTTGCCAAATTGTGTTTGTGATTCCGATGACCAGCCAGCGATAATGCCGTGAAACGCCTCGAACGTCTGGCAGTGCACTAGTTTCAAGTCGGTTTTAATAGTCGCTTGGCTCATTAAAGCCTTGATTAATGTTTGGCAATGGCCACTTAGGGCTTATTGTCGCGCCTTTTACCAAAAAGTATCTCACATTTTTGCACTGCAACAGTCTCTTTGCCAGCCCCCAACACCCAGCTGGGTGCCATCATCAGCTGCACTTGTTTGGGCAATTAGCCCCTTTCTTGTCATAAATTTTCTTCTGTACATTTTGCTGAAAAGTCACATTTAATTGCACAGATTTACAGTTTTTGGAGTCGAGTGGCTCTTATTACGGCCAAGGTATTCCCCTATTCCTTCGCGTAATTACGTGCCAAATTAATGATGTTTTTGCGGCTAAGTATGTGCAAAACACGAAAGCAGCTGTAGACACATATTTCAGCTTTAAATTGGGCCAGTTCTTTGGTTTCTTATTTGTGCCTCTTCACGCAGATCCTTAGCAATTTTAATGAATTCTGCAGGTGCAATTTCTTGCAGCCGTTTGGCCAAAGGAACATCATGATAATCATCTCTGTCTAAGAACTCGGCTGGAAAGCAAACCGGATATTAATTGGGTAGCAAGCAGACTCCACTACATACTTTAAGGCTGAAATTGTCTTTTAATGAAAGAAATGAATAAGATTTTTGGCTTCATTTCATCTGTCCAATAACCGAAATGATTCAATCTCGCTTTGTCAATTTCACAACTGAACAGTAAAGTTCATTTGAAAGATTTATATCGCTAAACGCTTCCTAAGTAATGAGCTAAGCAAATAGAACTTCAACTACACTTGAATTCCTTAGCCAACAGCTCAGCGCCTCATCAATGAAACGTCCCCCGAAAAATAATTGAAACTCATCAGACTTTATTGGGTTGTTCGAAGGTGGCGGCTGAGCCATCATTAATGCCCTTATCACGTATTTCGGTGCGACAAAAGCCGCAGCCCCAGCCCCAGCTCCACCCCGGCCAACACCTTAGCTATATATGGCTCAGAGGATTTGTCTTAAAATTGCTACCCTTAATTACTTGTAAGCTGGCAACCCCCCGGTGTCTTGGGCCCGCTTGACTTTGCAATTTGGCAGTGCATTGGGTGACGATGCCCTCAAATAGCATCGATTCCAATGCTCCCATACTGGCCAAGACGACCCGGCTGGGTCTGGGTACGTTGATTAAATTGATGATGTTTGATGACTTCTGCAGCTGATTTGGCCTTAGATTTCTTTTGGCAAGTGGTGGTCAAGTAGCAGGAGTGGACCACATATGGCGCACATGTGCTGCCACCCCTCGCTCATTACGATGCATTGGACATGCATCAAGACGCCGTCAAGTCATGTCCCACACCTCGTCCATTTCCCCCTGTGCCAAGTGGGCATCTTTTCGGAAGAAGGAAGCCGCCCGTGTTGGCATTAGTTGGCATGACTATGCCGCTGTTCTAGGCCAGTTCTCGAGGCGGCATTCTTTTGAGAACGTACCCAGGACTGACCTTAATTAATCTTTGCTGTGCCGCTAGTTGCTTGTTGCTCGTTGCTTGCTGCTCGCACCTACAAGTTGCCTGCAACTTGCACTGTGGCCAATGTTGATTAATGTGAGCTGGAGGAGCCGCGTGACTGGGCGTTTTTTAAAGACCGGGAAATGAGTTGCATGAGTCGCATCGGTCGGTACGGGGCGTGCTATTAACTAATTGCGCGGCATTGTTTAGATGCTTATAGAAGATATCAAATATACCCATTGGAATGCACTTCCTACTTACTGTCCAGAGGCCAGCTCCAGCTCCAACTTCAGCGTAAAGTTTTAAAGCGCATTTCAATGCAAATATATCACATTCAGGACTTTGCGACTTGGTCTATCGCTGCCTGTGACAAACGCCTCCAGGGTGCAATATATATACGAGTTTAGCCACATGTAATGAAAGTGTGAATGAAATTTTCATCTTTTTTGTAAAGCAACTGCAGAAAGAGGAAAGTGGAAAGTTCAAATAGAATTTAACCCCAAGCGCATATTTATAGCACGTTTCGTTCTCCTTCTCTCGCTGCTAAAGCTTACATAAAACAAATACACATGCAACCACGTGTCTGTCCGTGTGTCTGTGTCTGTGTGTGTGCGTATGTGCGGGCGTACCCCTAACTGTCATGCTGAAAATGACCTAAGGTAAAAAGAGATTTGCCGTTGCTTTGCGAAAGGGCGAACGACAGACAACAGGAGTAGCTTCCCAGAAGCTGCAGCAGTTGCTTTTTTGTTGAAGGTTGTTGGCCTTGGGGCAGATTTGAAATGATATGTCAATGGGAGATGCAACACAGTTTTCAAATTAAGCTTGAGCAGTTGAGTGCCATTTAAACTGCTAATTTCTTGGGTCCAGCCAGCATTGCAGTTGAATATCTCCTGCAAATTAACTCTATTTGATTGTCTTTCAATTCGTAGCTATTTATAAATAAAGGGCTGACATATCACTAACTCGAAAGTATTTAATATATTTTAATTGAAATTCTAATTCATGGTATATTCATCGAGTTCATGTTGAAGTAGTTTTCCAGCTCTACACTTCCCAAATAGTAATTCTCTGTGTGAAGTGCACTGCCCTACTCTAAGCAGAGCTGAGAATTCGATAAGATATTCGTTGGGAAAAACTCGCTCAAAGCTGCTCGGCCTCGCACTGTTTCCACCCTTTGGCTGACAGATCGGGAAACCACTTCAACCGTAGCCGCTGTCAACTCGACCCGAACTCAAACTCACAGAGCTATAACAATAAAGAGCGGAAATTAAAGTGTGAAAACCGGCAGGAAGTTGAATTGATTACAAGAGCTGTGAGTGAGTCCTCGTGTCCGTAACCATATAAGTATATAGTGTGTGTATTTAGGTAGCATATTTGACAAATAGAAAAGTTTACAATGCATTTCATTTGCTCAACTGTCAACGGGTAGCCCGAAGCTTGTGGCACTCACAGGCGACAGGAGACAGGCTGCCAGGACGCCAGGACACAGCCACAGGCCACAAAAGGCGGCGCCTGTGATTGAATGTTAAACATTTAATTTAAACTTGGTCCAACTCAGTTAAATCCCCCACACTCATACACACACACACAACACTCCACACACACAGCTTAGATTCGACATAATTTATGCACGCACATCAATTCGAATGCATCTAATTTGGTAAACAGGCAGCTACTCATCGTCACACCTGCCTGGCACACAAAACGTGAAGCGACTTGGATACGGACTCGACTCCTTGCTGACATTGGCTTAAAATAGTTTTCATTTGTTTTCGTTGTACTTAGTTCAGTAGCTGCAACATGTGGCATTGGCATTGCCACTAAGTAGCCTGTCTGCATCAGCAACAGCATCTGCGACTGCCTCTGCTCTTGCCTCCGTGGCTGCCTTCGTTCCTGCATCAGGGAGTTCGCTGCGCTTCGTTTGCGTACATGCAGCTCATTTAGTTGACATTTATTAACGTCACATAGCGCGCAATGTTTGACAATTAATTAGGCACAGATATGCCAGACGATGTCTACTGTTTACAGCCAGATTCTCCGAGAAATCGCTCATTACGTGCAGCTAAGTTTAGCCTCACAAACTCAGATGGTATCTAACACAAGCTAATTTATTGATGCCCTTATTTAACGTCACTGTGGTAGCTGGCTAATTTACTAGATAGTGCGTTAGGTCTGCCTCAGGCAATGATTCAATCATTCTCTTTTCTAAATTGTATTCTATTGATGTTGTATCTGCTTTGCAGCAGATCTAAGCTCAAAACTTTTATTGTGTTTACATGAATTTTTAACTACTTAATTTAATTATTATTAAGTATTTGTTTATCTGTCTTTTTATTCTGATTTATTTATACTTATCTTGCAGATGCAGTGATATGCATAGTAAGTGTTGAAGTCTTTGGTAGAATCGATTTCAGTTGGAAGAGAGGAGAAAACTTCGAGTTTTGATCGTATCAGGCGCGATTTTCTTATTTCTTGTAATAATTTTAAACTATCTCCTGCTACATTTTGCCACATTTCCAGGCAAAACTGCTCTCAGAACTGAAGTAATTCTAATCTGCTAATTCAACAATCATTCAATTTCAAATTCCCACTTAAGATATGCCACTCAAATTCCGTTTTTGTGCTCTATGACTTAGCATAGAGCAACAAAAAAATTGCTAAAAGAACTGACCGAATCACAGCAATTTTCAAAGTAAACATTTCTCTCCCTAAACCTCTTCATAGGTTTATGTGTGTGTGTATGGGACTATTGAGCAAAAAGCGCCAGGATTTTTATTTATAAAACACTTGAAAGGGAAGCAGAACAGGACGCACAGCTTGAAGTCCATTTTTTTGGAGCATATTGACGCAAGGATTTCGCCTCGACAAAAAAACACACACACGCACACACACAGTGGCAAATGTGCAATGAGCACTGAGTAAAGATCAAACAGCAGTACGACGTGGCAGGCGGTCCGCCTAGCGAATGCTGTTGCCAAGAGTCCTTTGAGGCATTCTATGGTTGGAATCGCTTGAGTGAAAGTTTGTTTTGCTTTTGCAAATGTCACATGAAAAATGCGTTCGCTGTGCAAATGCCAGCACTTTGCATGGGTACCCCTGCTATGATGGGTATTTTGGGGGTAGCAGAAAGAGCAGGGAGAGGAGTCCGCTCCTTTCGAGGCAGGGTGCTGGTCGCCTTGCACGAAATTTCCATTTAATGTGTTTGCGCAAAGTATTAAAAGGCAACGACGATTGAGTATCGAAAAGTAGTAAAGCAAACCGAGTAGCACCCCGATAGTTAGGGCTGGGTGCCATAGGGGAGGTGTCCATTGCAGGGGTCCATATCGAACGCTGGCATTGCCTGCAGCTTGCAGTCGCCAGAGGGCGCTTGTGCGCTGAGTGATTGCCATGATAAGTGGCCCATTATGATGCCAGTTTGCACAGCGAGATTGCGCTGCGCTCCATTGGACCATTGGAGTTCGTCAGTTGTTCAGTTCGTCGGTTTGTCAGCTGCTGCGTCTGCTTGGCCAATTCTTTTTTAATGCATATCAAAGTGGGCAAAGTTCTGGCCCCAAAAAGTGCGTCATTGTTGGAGTGCTGGACTGCCTGTGCCGACTATTCTTGGTTTCTTTTTGTGCACTGTTCCCATCAGCATCTTTACTGGAACGGCTGTTGACAAAAGACATTTAATTTTCCCTTAGTTTGCTTTTGCCCGCTTCGAGTATCTCCGCCATAAAGTTTGTCCTTCACTCCAGAGCTCGCTTCATCTTCTACGTTTTTTGCAAGCCTGATTTTTGGTCTGCGCCAGCGAAAACTTTGATAAGTGAAATTTATTGTGGGCGCTTTGAGTTGTCCACTCTGAACAGCAAAATGCTCAACTTATGTCTGCGATGTTTGCCATTCATCCCGGCCCCGTTGCGTCCTCATTGTTTTATAGCACCTAACGAGCAATTTTCAACAGCTATCATAGTCTTAATATTTCAGATTTTTCATTTATTGGAGCTATAAAGTACTTTTCTATTATGGTAATTAGATTGTCTTTGATAAACTTTTAGTATTAATACTAGTCATATTTTTTCATATTTCAAATCATTGCTAGACGATATCTGCTACTTGATCATGCATCGAGATAGGAAATTTTCTCATTGAAATGATTTTCTTGCAGTACAATGCCACCCCACCCTGTACACCTGACACATACGAGCGTATTATGCATCGATCATTACTCATGCTATAAAAGGAATCCACTTAATCTCGCAACGAAACATTCAAACATTTATTAAAGACATGACAGACCCTTGTTTGGGGGGTTGCAGCCCCCTCAGTTATTCAGGCAAAAACTGCAACAAAAGGTATAATTTATAGTTCGACACCCTTGGAGTATAAAGCCGGGCCATCAAGGCGACTATTTGGGGAGGTCGCACGCACGCTGCCAGCCCACAGCCCCTGCCAAATCCAAGGACATTGGGTGGGTGGCCAAATGTAATTGCTGCCGCCCCAAAATTTGGCATAGACCTTGAAAAAAATTATATATATATAGCAGCAGTGAAAGCCCCGTTTGCCGATTGGGGACTGAAGCGTGAGGTGAGTGATAGAACTTAAAGCTCAAACGCCCGTGCGTTTGCAATGAATATTTACGAGCGGGCGCCGTTGGGTCCTCTGAGGATTATTCGGCTTTATGCAATTGTGCGCAAGTAAAAATCTAATTTATCCGCCTGCCACCCTTCGTTTTGTTTGACAATTGCCTAAAATTATGCGGTGCATTGGCATGAGACTCTGGCTCTGCCGGCACGTACTCGTGCTCTACCGGGCCGTACCGGGCATTACTTTAAGGGAATTTTCCATAAGGCTGCCGGAAAAAAATTGCTTTGCTATTGGCTGCAGCTACCCTTTGTCAGTTAAAGTCCAAGCTTAAGCATTTTGGGGTGGCTTCAACGCGCCCGGTGGTGGGTGGTTGGGTGGATTGGTGGATTGGTCTCTCGTCTCATCATAACACCACATGTTCTAAAATTGCTGCTGGCGTCGCCACGTCGCCATCTCGTACTTCATGTAGATTGCTATCTATTCTATTGTCTGACTCTTACTCGTGGTAGATTTTAACATTCATTCCGTTTGATGAGGCGCAAAGTTGTGGAATTTATTGCCTCAGCCTCACTGCTCAAAGCCTCGACAAAAAGTTAAGTGGATTTTACGTAAATTAATGAGTCCACCCAGCCCTGAGGGGTTGCAACTGATTCTTTAAGTATTTTTTAGCCATTGCAAATTCAAATTCGAACTCTGTTGCAGCTGTTGGTTTTAGTCTGGCAAGTTGTGGCATGCGGCGAGGGGTTAAAGGAAGGCATAGATATTTCGTTGGTTTTCTTGAATAGGGGAAACGAAAGTGTGAAGCTATTTAAGGCGAAAATTCAAAGTTTGCAATAGTTTAAGACATAATAAAATTTCATCTGGATTAATGATTTCCTTCAGCGTTAAAAATTCAAAAATGTTTTTAAGAGTTTATCATATTCAAATAAAATTAATTAAATTGTTTTAGCTAGACAATTTTATTAAGAAAAATGTAAAACAAAAGCAATTAAAATAAATTTTAAAAATACATTTTTAAACTCTTTCGCTTAAATCTTTACTTGCATTGCAACCTTAGCCGCAACTTATAAACTTTCACGGCGTATAAGATTATATTTGGCGCGTATAAGTCTTTTGTCTTGCTCTTAGATTCGGTTTATGCGCTCAGTCTTGGTCAAAACGTGTGCGGCTTAAGCTCGCGTTGTGTATCTGTGTTTTCTTTCATAATGTTCGGTTGCGAGATTTTATTAAGGCATAAGAAAACAATTTTAATATTATTGCTGTTTGCTGCAACCTGTAATATTATCATTTATCTGTATATTGTGGACACTAAACCAGAAGAAGAATCGACAAACGCGACAAACTCTGTGAGCGCTAAGGCAACAGCAACAACTAAAGTGACATCAACACAGCATGCTGAAAGTGATCAGCTGGCTGGCGATGCGAAGACTTCAGAGTTGGTGTTGACCGGTCTGGGCGCATTGGGTCGACCAGCGAAGAGCAACTGGACCGCTGAGCAGCGTCTGGCCATGGAAAGCAGCCAGCGTGAAACGGGTTATAACGCTTGGCTCTCGGAGCGCATATCGCCGGAGCGTAAGCTCTTCGATATGCGGCATCGCAGGTGAGTGTCGCGAGCGATGTATAAGAGTTCACGCTCATAAGCTGCGATAACTGTTAACAGCTGCAAAAAGCTCAAGTACCCAGTGGAAAAGCTGCCAGCAATCAGTGTCATCATCACCCATCACAACGAACAGGCGAGTGTGCTGCTTAGAACGCTGAGCAGTCTGCGAACTAGAACTTCATCAAGATTACTGCGAGAGATCATTTTGGTCGACGATGGCAGCGACCATGAATTTATTGTGGATGAACGGTTCGAGGGACTGGTGCAGCAGCAGCGTCTACCAAAGCAGCTGGGATTGATGCAGGCACGGCTGGCGGGTGCTGCAAAGGCTCAGGCTAAGGTGCTCGTCTTTCTCGATGCACATATAGAGGTTACTCGGGGCTGGCTGGAGCCCCTGCTGGCTCCCATGCTGGAGAGCAACAAGACCTGCACAACGCCCTTAGTGGATACCATTGACTATGACACGTTTGCCTATAGGCGTGGCAAGCCATCGCGTGGCTTCTTTGACTGGGACTTTAACTATGTCCAGCTGCCATTAATGAAGCAGGAGGAACTGGCGCTGCCTGCGCCGCATGAAAATCCCATCATGAATGGCGGTCTATTTGCCATATATCGCACTTGGTTCTTTGAGCTGGGTGGCTATGATGAGGGGCTGCGTATTTGGGGCGGCGAACAGTTCGAGCTGAGCCTCAAGATTTGGCTGTGCGGTGGCCGACTGCTCGAGGTGCCCTGTTCCAGAGTGGGTCATTTGTACAGGAATAGCAACTTCCATCCGCAGTACAAGAAATCCGAGAGCGGCAGCAGGGCAATTGCTAGGGTGAGTACTTAGGATGAAATTGAATACGCCCGTGTGTATCCGAGTTATTGTTGTTGCCAGAACTACAGGCGGGTGGCTGAGGTGTGGTTGGACGAGTACAAGGACAAGCTGTATGCGAATATGCCGCACTTGACGCATGTTAAGGTGGGTTCATTAAAGAAACAAAAGGAACTGCGCCAGCGTCTGCAGTGCAAGCCCTTCAAATGGTTTCTGGATCACCTGGGCAGGGACTTCTTAGAGCAGTATCCCATAGATGAACCTCTGGACTATGCATTTGGCGCCGTGCAGAGCTTAGCGGCACCTGCGCTATGCTTGGAGAGAGCTACGTCTGCAAAGCATCCGCAACTGCTGCCATGTGATGGGGATCTAATGTACCCCAAGTTGGAGCAAAAGTGGTCTTTGAGTCATTTTCGTGATCTGCACTCGAACAACCATTGCCTGGAACTGCAGCAGCAGCAACATCCAAGCGCAGAGATTTGGCTTTGGCAATGTCATCATCATGCCGGCAATCAGTTTTGGTCATATGACATAAATACCAACCAGATCATCCACGGCCAGAGCAGAGCTAACCGACTTTGCCTTGAGGCTCTACCGGAGGAACGAAAAGTGATCGCCAATACCTGTGATACCAAGAGCCAAAGGCAGCACTGGAAGTTTGGATATGCCAATGAGAAACTTCTGGGCGACTTTTGGAAGAATGTGGCTCAGTAGCAACAGTGGGCACTGTTTTTTAGCTAATAATCGTTAGTTGTTAATAATTCGTAATGTATTTCGCTAGGACTTGTTTATGATAACATCAGATTTATGGCTGAACGACGTCTATCTCCTTACTTATCGTCATTATCCGCTTGATCTCAGGGAATCTAAAAGCTAGACTTTATTAAATTAAATAGCTTTTGTTTTTGGAACATATCTCTAAGATTATATTCAACATTTATTCTTAAAATAAAATTGTTTAATTTGGGTGTTTCTGTATTTCATTTACTAATGTCCTTTGGGGCGTGCCAAATATCTTAACCTGATACGTTAGATAATAATGATTGTATATGTTTGGCATATATTCCATCTTTGTGCAAATCAATTGCTTCGATATTGGCACTTTGAACTGAAATCAAATAATTTAATTAGGTGTAAGTACCTTTTGCATATAGAAAATAATCTCACATCGATAAGCCCGTAATAGGATCGATCCAGAAAGTGTTTGTGGTGCGGCAGCGAATAATTCAATGAGCCAATGAAATAATCTTTCATATGAAATGGCAAAAATCGATGATAGCCCAAATGATCCCGGCTATCGCCAGGCAGAACATTGACATTGCTGAGGCATCGACCCAACTCTTCATACGGAGCATACCCCTGCGGGTCTGGGCTGCATATCGTTTGGTTGGGCATGGCTCGCAGAACGAATTGACTGAGTGCAGCGCTGCTTAACACAATGCCCGAGCGATCATACATATATGCCTAGAGGTCGAGGGAGATATATATAAATAATTTATACATAAAGATTAGGCCTCGGTCAGCACCTGATTTGTCTCACTTCTTAGCTTGCAGCCAAAGTAGATGAGCTCCTCGGGGCTGTAGGTGTGCAGCATATAGCGCAAGTTCTCCACCATCACATAGCTGCAATTGGCAAACGTTAACCAAGGATTCTGTATATTGATTCGTCTCATACTTATCGTCATTGATATAGAGAAACCAATCGCCCTCATCAAAGTGATATTTGTACACGTACTCGAGTTGCGCACGCATTTGCTGCCACTTATCATTAATATGCGCAAACACTGCTGGCTCCACCTCCTCGTGGGCATCGTTGCTGACAAATAGATGATGATCGCATTTCTTGGACCAAGTACGCTTGGTATGCACTGCCACGGAGTTATGCCGAAAATCGAAGGTGGAGATAATACAAAAGATACGCGCTGTTGGCAAAGGCTCCACAGTCTTGAGCTGGCTGTTGTTTTGCAGCAACAGCAATCCCAGCACGCATAGCAGTACGAGAAGGGACAGCTTATAGAGCAGGGAGCAGCATATTGCAGAGCAACTTCTGCACGGATTGAAAATGCTAATTTTATTTTTGCCGCTTAGAAAGAAGCGCCGTCTGCTGAAGAACGGTCGCATTTTAAAACTGACACTGAAATCAGTCGCACAGATGATGATGGCGATGATAATATGATGGCAGAGTGGGTTGTGCTCTGTATCGTCTACAATTTAATTATATTGAGTGCTTTTGTCTGTCGAAGTTTCTCGCTTGCCGGCACTCTAACCCAGCTCTCGATTGGCTTGCCGCATACAAATTGCCTTTTTCAATTAGAAATATTAACTCACCTGGCCGCAGGTCGCTGTCTCGGGCAATGCCTTTGCGTGCCGCTAAACTTGAAGCTGATGCAAAACTTGGACTACTATTGACAACTGCAGTTGAAAGCGGCCAGCCACAGACGAAACAGGGCGTGCTCACGAAAGTTGTGTGTTATCTATTGAAAGGAATATCTCAAATGCTGAATACGTAATGTGGTCAATGGGCTGCGTAGCAGCTGTCTGAGGTGTTGAAAGCAAAGTGTAAAGCGCTAAGATAATATAAGTGCTTCAAGTGGAATAATGGACTATATGTGTAGACTGCTAAGCTAGTCGAGCTAAGCACTCTAACGTTCTCTAACATTTAGCCATTTGTCAATTCTTTGTGATCAATGCCAGATTTGCATGCCACAGATATGCATGAATCTGTGCAAATTTCATAGAAAATATACAAATATCTGTCAGATAAGATATCACACGTCAGCTCTTGTGCGATGTGCGATTTGTAGGTGTTTTGCAATAACAAAAAATACTTACATAATAGCATGTGAGTCTGTTCAAACTGTCAAAAAAAAAAAAAACAAAAATAAGAAGAGGGATGTATGAATGGGAGTAAGGTAAGCGATATTTGTTCATATGAAGCATTAATGTCTCAGTTTACGTGCTCAAATTACCAGATGAGTTGGCATTGTTGGCTAACAGGTTGGCAGCGGGAAATGGTAAACAAAAGGCAAGTAAAGTGAAGGCCCAGGAAACAGCAGCCCGGAGCAGAAAAAAGCGCAATATTGCATACAATTTGCCTTTCGCCCTTTTGGCAAGAGACTCCAATGGCAGCAATTCGAATGCCGGGCCCGAAGGCTGCCACACATGCTGCAACAATGACACTTTGCAGTTGCAGCAAAACGGAAGTAATTTTGCGCAGGCAGCCAATGGAAACAAAAGGCTTGGGACAACGGAGACCTGGCCACAGACGACGGCCAGACATACTTTTCATTGATGAACACGTATCTCAATTCGTGTGCATGTGGGCCGAGATTGCCTGCCCGTATGAGGCATGAATTATGTGAGAAACTGTTGGGCTAAGTAGATAGTTGATAGATGATATGTGGGTTAGACGGAAGTAAACCTAAACGTAAACGTAACCCAAGCCCAAGCCCAAGCCCAAGATGCTGCCCTCTACACGTAATTGAAACATTCTGAAACACGGAAGTGTTTTGGCAGATGCCCAGCCAGCCAGCAGCTGTCAGAGTTTTTGTGTCACTTTATTAAGGCAACAGTTCCATTGCGCTGTGCACAGGCTGGCTAAAGATATGTGGACGGCAGGTAAAGTAATGCATAGCATCTAATTTGGGAATGTTATGGCCACAATTTGCTGCGTAAATATTTGTATACAAAAGTGGTTAAACGAATTTTCTTGTAAACAATTTTGATTAATACACATCTGGATGATGCCAAGCCTTAGCTAAGACATAATATCCCTTTATAAAAATTTCATACGCACTGATGCGGATGATTAAACTCAACCATAGTTACGCCCACATAATTCAAGCAGCGATTCAGCTCTGTAGCTTATTTAAACCTGGATTATTGATGAAATGATGAGAGATTGAATATTTTCCCTCCTCTGTGTAACACTTTAAAGCCGTGCTGCTCAGCACATAACCAGCCTTTCAATAGTTTAATGAATATGGAAATATTTTTGTAGACTTTGTACTTATATTGTATGAGTTGTATAAAATTGGGACATTTTAGTTCATGGTTAAATTAATATTTTAATATTTAAATTACTGATTTTTTTCTCACAATTTATTTACATTTGTTCAGTCGAAGTCTACAAAAATAAAACTCAATGCTGCAAATCGGAAGAACAAACTCTCCATTCAAACCACAAAATCGTGCATGCCATTCATGCAAATGCTGATCTTTCTGATCTTTTGTGCACACAAGATAGGAAAAAATCATATGCAAAGCAACGAAGGTAAAAAATCAAATACTCGTAAAGCCGAATGCAAACAATTAGTATTTGGAAACCGTGTCAACAAGTTTCAGCAAAGTGAATCTCCGAAGATCCGTTTCTGAATGAATGGCGACCCAGTGCAAACAATGCCAAGTTCAAGCCGCAAATGTGCGCAGTAAACAAGTCACACAAACAGAAATAAAAAAAAATACACTAATAATAATAATAAAATGTGAAAAAATATTAAAAACAACAACACTTAACACGCGTGTACATAAACCAATTCTAGACACACAGGTGTGTGTGTGTGTGTGCTAGTGTTTGTTGATTTATTTGCCAAACAAACAGTCAAAATAATTGTAGATAATGCCGATAAGGTGAGGTGCTATACGCTCGTTGCTAGTTGGATGTTTTCCCATCATATAAACAAACTAGAACCGGTTCGCAGCGCTCACTTGTTGAAGGTGTTTGAAGTATTTGCCTACTTCTGATGGATATAACTAATTAAATTTGCACGAAGATCTTCAGAGCCTTGCCCCCGAGCCAGCAGAAACTGGTTATGACTTCAGAATAAGCGCTCAACATAAACTTTTGTAATGAAATATGAAAATGTTTTAATTAGAAGTCGATAAGCCGGGAAGCGACAGACAAGTTGCCTTATTTCAAGGCCCATTAAATTGGACTTAAATGCTGCGATATTTCATATTCCCTTAATCTCTCCCTGTCCCTCTCTCTCTCCCACTCTCCTGTCCGCTCTATATCTCTCTCTCTCTCACATTTACTTTGCCGTTGGTGTTGACATCACTTTGTAATAAATTTCCAATTATGTGTGTCGGCATAAATTAAACGAAACTTTCATTGACAGCGCACTAAGACTTAATTGACCCTTTAACACAAAGTTTTCGTCGACAAAAAAATAGGAATAAAATAAAAATGTCAGCGATAAGCAGCAAGTGTGACGTAGTATATTAATCTCGAACTATTGATTCATTTTAAACAAAATAAATACTTTGGAACAGATTAAATTTGTTGTTTTGCTTCCTATTGACATTTATTACAGCAAATATTATGGGTGGGCCTGAAAATATGCATTTTGTTAAGCTCATTTATGAATTTAATAAAATCAAATATTTTAATTGGGTCAGTTTGCAGTTCAGCCAAAAAAGTGGCAAATTTAATTTAGTTTGCTGTGATAAATGATAAATTTATGGATTAAATTATAATAATAAAATAATATAATTATAATAAATAAAATTAATATATTGAATAGCTGATTGTAAAAAATTTAATTTGTGCATTGGCTGAGCTTATAGAAAGAACGCTGCAGTTGCAGTTGGGTGCAATCAAATGCAGTTTATAAAACAAAGACAGATAACAGACATACGTATATTATCCATTTTGCCATATAATTCATAGATCTAACTTTCGCGCAGTACAGAACATAGATGATCCAGACAAGACAGAAGATAAAACTTCAAGGCCAGACAAATAGTGCACAAAACCAATAAAGACTTAAAGTTCACATTGTGCGAGTATATTTATGTATATGAATATGTGTATGTATATGTATGTGTAGACAGAGCTAAATCGATTTCAATAGTTGGCCCATCTTGGCTGACTATGCAAAATTTGATTTGACAATCTTTGACGTAAGCCTGAGAAAATTTTCTGGTTCAATTTCAAAGAGCTAACAAAATTTGTACCAATTATGAAAGAAAACGTCCCCGGAGTGCAATCAGCTAAACGCATATGGTGTTGTTGTTGTTGTTGTTGCTGGTTGACGATGACGACAAAAGGCAGATACAGATAAAAACTGCTCTCAAAAGATACTTCTGGTTGCCGTGGCGCAGTTGATAAAGGAAACGCTGTGTGAGCCCAACCACAAAGCGGCAAAGGAAGCAAAAGAAGAAAACAAATGAAAAGAATGAAACTGAACGGAACGGAACCGTAAACCCATAGCCAGAGGCAGATAACTTTATCAATGAAAAGTCAAATGCAAGCGATGCGGGAGCAGAAGAAGCGAGCAAGAGGTAGAGGGTGAGAGCGGGAGACAAGGGGAACGAGGAGCTGCAGCACATAAAGAAGTTAAACGAATGTTTTGAATGTCATAACAATATGCAAGCGATAAAAATAATGACAAAGAGTGAGCCAGCAATTTATGAGTGCCACAACTTAAATAAAGTTATGGACTACTACAACCAACTTCAAGTCCTCGATCTTGAGAGACCAATAGACATCGCTTGTTTAGTATTCGTAGGCATAGATAAGGTTCTGATGCACCAGTGTCCAATTGTGTCTAACACTCTCTAGCTACCCATGGGACCCCAGTTGTAGATCCTATAGCCTGACTCAGGCCACCTGGCAATGGGCAGTTATCTTATTGATACTCAAAGATTTTGTGACAATTGCTTCACTCTAGGCAGCTTCAGTTTTACAATGCAAAGCTATTAAGAGAAAGAGTTTAAAGTCACATTTAGATGTAACCATTGATGCCAAATAAATTAGATGGGTTTCTGATGTATGGCAAACGCTTATAAAACAGTTCGTAGCACAGTAGCAAAAATTGCGATTAGAACTTAATCAGACCTTACATATAATACTACATACAAATTTAGTAGACAGATAAAATGTCTTATGCTTTCTTAACCAACATTTTTGGGTTGGGCACTGTGTTCAGTGTTGCGTGCAGTTGCCTCGTAGGTTCTTACGGAAATTCATAATGAGATCCCCTTTATGGCTGAGCTCTTCTCTTAATTCTAGTGATTTAGCTTTTTTATAGAGAACATTGAACTTTGTCAAGTGAACGTTTTTTTATGAGGGCTTGTTATAACTGCTAATAATAATTGTAGTTATTCTGCTTTTCGATTTTGTTTTTATGTTTCCCAGCAAACTAGCCAACCAAATAAGCTTAGTAAATTTGGTTCCTAAATTGCCAAATATTCGGTTTTATTATAAATGGAAAAGGAAATCAAAAGATTTACTCACTATTAGCTGATAATCCGGTTTGCTGGGCAATTAAATGCGTTTGATTCGTTCAAATTGAGTTTGACTAAGCACTGAATGAAGGTTGAAAGGGTTGAGCATCTTTTCAAATAAAGCTGTTCGATTTACACAAGACACTTAAGTGGTTTGTTCAAACATTTTTTAAAGGAAATAAATATTGTATATACAATTTAATGAAACCTGTTGCTATAAACAATATGATTTGTGGCGTTGTTCTTGTGTGTATGTCGACATATGTATATGAATAGCTTTCAATAACTACCCCTAAAAATATGCTGTAAAATGTGGGCATCTTTAAATTGATATAGAATCTCTCTATGATATCTGTTAGCTTCGTATTTAATTGGAATTTGATGGAAAGCGGTTACATTAAAATTAGTTTGATTGTCAACAAAGCTGAGATG